CTGATGAGGGTTCTGTTCTCACTGATGCAGATCAAATTGGTTCTAATGCAGCTGATTATTTTCTTCTCTATATGCTGAGACTCTTTCGGTCATTGATATATTATCGGAATTGTTTGAGGATTAGAGGGACACGGTCTCCTTCCTCTCTTTGTCTTTCAATTGGAAATCCTTTAGTAGAATGTCTCAACTCAAATTTGATTTGACTCTGGAACAATTCATTCTGAGTATGATACACTTAAATGACTTTTTTGATCATGTTGATCACTTCGGTCAACACCAATACGCGCGGTAAGCTTGTTCAGCACACCACACTTATTGGGGGTTCATTTGTTGACCTCATTTTTTTGAGGTCTTTCCTTATTCTTCCTAGAGACTAGGATCTAGCTCCAGGAGTTCCTATTGACCATCTTAGAAAACTAGAATTGGGACGCACACTTTTAGAAATTCTACCAACTTCTTATTTTCCTGTGATGTCTAGCATTTATGGTCTCAAGACCATCGTCTTATGGACGAGCGGTTAAAGGCTATTGTGTGAAGACTTAAGGAGAAATTTCCAATAGGACTCCAAGCCCTAGGAAAACCTTCTCACGCCTTTATCGACACAGACACACACAAAATGCACAAAATTCACTAAGTTGAAGATTTTCAATGCCCTTAAAGATATTAGTTCTCAAAAGGATTCTGGCCCCGAAGGTTTCACTTTGCTTTTTATATTTCCTGCTGGAGCATCATAAAGAATGAGGTGGTGCTCGTGATTCAAAGTTTTTTTCAGGGTGAAGACCCTTAAAAGTATTTTCTGTAGCTCTGATTGTTCTTATCCCTAAATCTGATGATAAAACTCATTGGAAGGACTTTCTGTTCATCTCGCTCACTTCTACGATATCAAAAATTATCAATAAACTGATTGTGGCTCGTCTTCAACCACACCTTCCTTCTCTCATCTCCCCCCACCAGTTGGCCAAGGACCTGATATTTCTGACAATATTCTCTTAGCTCAGGAAATTTTGTAGGATCTTAATAAAAAATGCAGGAGTGGCAATCTTGTTATCAAATTAGATATCAAGAAGGTCTTTGACACCATTAATTGGGATTTCATAATCAACGTTTTGAAGGCTAGAGGATTCACTACTAGCTTTTGCACCTTGATAAAAAGATGGTTAACTAACAATTATTATTCCGTGCTAGTAAATGGTAATTCTTATGAATTTTTCACTACTTCTCGTGGCATCAAACAATGGGACCCTCTCTCCCCTATTATTTTCATTTTAACTTTCGATTATTTATCCAGGATGTTCAACCATTTCCAGCTGTTACACCCTCACACAGTTTTCTCATAAGGCCAAGATGATGGTTTCACATCTTGCTTATGCTGATGATGTGATTATTTTTGTCAATGCCTCTAGGCTTACTCTAAAACAATTGATGGGGCTCTTAAAGTATTTCCAGAATTATTCTAGACTCTTTAATTATGACAAGTGTCAGATGTTTTTTGGCAAGCACGTTAAGCCCCAACTTATTCATTGGAGAGTTGTCTTTATTGGCTTTCATCATGCCTCTCTTCCTCTCAAATATCTTAGGATAAATTTGATTATGGGAAGGAGGAAACAAATACATATGGATGATGTAATTGACAAAATCAAGAGTAAAATCAACGATTGGAGAAATGTTTTCCTTTCTACTGGGGGCAGGATTTCTTTGCTTTCTAGTGTTTGTCAGAGTATTCCACTATATGCTTTTCAGGTGTTTAACCCAAAAAAAAGTGCTATCAATATTATGGAGAGATTTTTTAACAAATTCCTTTGGGTGGGGAATGGTGCTAAGAAAATTTGGGGCTCTCGGCATAAGGTTTGTAAGCCTAAGAAGGCTGATGGGTTAGGCTTTAAAGCTTTGAAACATACGGTGGAAATAAACCTTTGCAAACTTTGGTTCAAATTTAGATTGTGCTTCCTTTATGCATCAGAAATATTGTGCCCAAACTCATCATTCCCAGATTATGTGGAAGGTTGGTGATTCCCGTATTTGGAAAGCAGTTGTAAATATTAGAACCCCTGATTTCTTTTCTCAAGATGACTGGGATTTCTCTAAATTATATTCTCTTGTGGGAGAGCAAAATGCAAAGCATATAATTACTATTCCTATCACCCCTTCATGCAAGGATCCCCCCGTGTGGAAAAGGAACAACTCTCAATCGGTTTGCAAAGTTATATATGACACTTTACATTCACACTAGAATTGGTTTTGGGGAAAATGGATTTGGCACAAATTCTCAACTCACTCTATATCATTTTTCCTTTGGCGATATCTCTCTTCTTTACTACTTATTGACGACATTCTTAAGTTAAAAGACCTTAAAATGGTCTCGAGATGTCCTATGTGTAAAGTTGCGGAGGAAGATACAAGACATATTTTTTTTAATGTGCTTTCTCTTTAAATGTCTGGAATATACTGGGCATACATTTTGATATTTCATGACTGCATAGGGGCATTTTAAGCAACTATTTGTGGCAATGGAAGGATTTTGATGATAAGGGTGGGGGGTTTCCCCTTTCTTTATTGGTCTTTTGGTTTATTTGGACCTCGAGAAACAGCTTTAAATACAACTCTTCTCCCCCCACAGCTTCTATGACTGTCTCTTATGTGATGGCTTATTACACTAAGGTCCTAAGGGCTGGTCGTATTGATGTTTCTACTTCAAGTCCCCCTCGGCTGATTAGGTGGGCTTCCCCTTCATTCGGTTATGTTAAGGTTAATGTGGATGGTTGTTGGAATCTCGTCTATGTTGCAGTTGGGGGCATGTTTAGAACTTATGAGGGTAGGTGTCTCTGTTCTTTTATCTCTCCCGTTGCTGCTGGCAATCCTTTAGCCACGGAATGCTGGGGCGTTTTTCTGGCATTAATGGTTGCTAGTGTTTTCAATTTTCATAAAATTGAGGTGGAAACCGATTTTAAAATGTTCTATGATATTCTTTTGGGTATCTCACCTCCCGACTGGGATATAATTTGCACTTTTAAACATATTTTAGCCTTAATGACTGAAAGGCAATTAGATGTAAATTGGAAATTCATTCATAGAGAGAGCAACTCCCCTGCTGATTGGTTAGCCAAACATGCAGGGGAGGCCTGTTACGTTGGCATTCATCCTACTGCTCCTCTCAGACGTCTCCTAAATGGGGATAATTTGAATCTGCCATATTTTCATTTTTAGATTCTTGTGCTTCTTGGCTTTATCATTGAGGGACTGCTTTTTTGTATTTCTCTTGCAGGTCTCCTAGTTTGCTTGGTAGTTTTCTTTGGTTTTGCAACAAGCCTTGTTGTGTCTCCCTGTTTTTGGTTTCTGCTTTCTACTCTGTTTCTATTCTCACGGCTTCCGCTGGATGCTACTGTTTTTGGATCTCTTTGGTCTACGCTCCAAAGTCTCAAAGGACTTTTGTTTGCTCGTGGGAGTGTTTTTGGAGAATTATTACTCGACTGAAGATATTTTTTGTACATTTTTTTTCTCTTTACATGTTTAGTAATACAGGAGCACATGTTTACTTATTTTTGGGTTTTTGTTCTTTCGTTTTGGGTATACCTGTATTTTTGGAGATTTCTTTTAGTGTGCGTTGTACTGTGGGGAGAGAAACCCCTAGAGGTGTGCTGCAAATTTTGCTTTTATACCTCCAATTTTTGTACAGTAGAGAGTCTCCGTTGCTCTTTTCCAATATATATATATATATATATATATATATTTGCTTTTATACCTCCAATTTTTGTACATTTTCTTTTAATTAACGCGTAGAGAGTCTCCGTTGCTCTTTTCCAATATATATATATATATATATATAAAGAGAGAGAGAGAGAGAGAGAGAAACCAATCCCTCCTTATTTACAAGCTTACCAAATATATCTCACTTAAATTAGGAAATAAAATAATTCTGAATAAAAAATAGAAAGGGAATAAACTTATCAAAGGTTTCCTGAGATATCCCAATTAAATGGTGGGGGCTGGCCCATATGAGAGAGGTAAACATAGAAAGAATTAAATCTTTTCACATTTCCAAAATTTTTGCTCTAAATTATGGTCAAATCTCACTTTACATCTCAATCACCTCTCTAAACTAGCCATACACCATTCAAGCCCACAGAACCATTAAACTCCTCTTATAAGTGGACGACCACCTTTATTATTCTCCGCACCTACATAAAGCCTTAAAAGTTAAAACTCAAATTACTCTAGAACATAAATTAATGTTTTTACTTAAGCTTTTGTTATTTTTTTCATTCCGAGAAGAGATCTTTTAAATTGACCTACATTTGCCTAAACTTGAGTAGTATGGGTCTTCCAGCCATCATATCCCTCTGTAGGCCTTACTATTCGGTTGAAAACTTCTGATCATGTCCTCACCCAATAAACTAACTATCTACAAACTTTTTTAAACATTATTCCCACCAGAAGGTCATCTATATCAATTAGTAATGAATTTTAGGAATAAAATTCCAAAGATAATATTCCTTTGGTAAGATCTCCCCTGTAATATCATATTTGTGAAAAAATGGTTGTCATTCAAAGAATCTCATATCCATAGAGTTGCGGCATTTTTGTTAAAATTAGCATTTGTAGCTTTTTGGGTTGGAGTTGACTCAATGGTCTGCCTACTATGATGGGTGGTCATTTTAGGCACGGACTATATTAAACAGGAGTCAAAATAGTTCCGTTGTTTGAGGTTGTGAAATTTAAAGTTAGACAACTGTTGGTGTAAAAAATGAGTATGATTTAGGAATTTATATCCTGAATTTGTTACAAAATAATTTATCTAAGACTATTGGAGTGATTGTTTCTAATTCTTTTCACTTTGTTGCTCTAATTTTATATCGTTATTTATAATTTCTCTTTCTTTTTATTAAATGGGAAGGATAGGCTTTGTTCAATAAAAAAGTTTGGTATTTATCTACACAGTCTGCAAAAAGACCTAAAGAGGAAAACTAATTCCTGAACTTGAAGCTTAAATTTTGTTTTTACAGGGTACTGGTGTTGAATTCAGTAACCAGATGTTACAACGTGTTTTAGCTGAACATCTGAAACATAACATATTGCAAATTGGCCCTGACTATTATTTACAAGAGGTTGGGATCTCCCAGGGAAGTATATTATCTTCACTTCTTTGTTCGTTTTACTATGGACATCTTGAGAAAAATGTCATTTTACCCTTCCTTGAAAAAGCATGTCAGATTAGTTCAAGAACTGACAAAACAAAACTCGGTTTCCGATCCAATGAAGACCGCAGAAGCCTCCAATTGCCAGAAAATCAAAGGTGTCACAGCAGCAGTAACAAATCTTTTTTATCTGGAAAACCCCTAGCATCCAATTTGAATGTATCCTATATCAATTCTGTGGATGAAGGAAAATATTTCACGAATAATTATGTGGCAGGATCTTACTCAAATTGGCTTAACATCGATAAACCACAAAATCTATTGTTGAGATTTATAGATGATTTTCTTTTCATTTCTACCTCACAACAGCAGGCTGCTAGTTTCTTCTCACGAATGCAGAGAGGTTTTCGAGCTTTTAATTGCTATATGAATTTTGAAAAATTTGGTCTTAATTTCGACATTGAGGAGCCTTCTCTCAACAAAAGGTTTTATGCTGGAGCAGATGGCATGCAATTTATTCCCTGGAGTGGCTTGCTTATCAACTGTAAAAATCTTGAAATCCAAGCAGATTACACCAGGTAAATTTTTAATATACTTTTTAAGTATCGATTGAATTAGTTAGTCCATATTCTTTTAAAGAATTTCATACCTAATGCAATAAAATAACTTTCAATATCACGCCTTACTCTAATATTTATTTGTTATGAAGATTACTCGTCACACCAAAGAAAAAAAAAGACTACATTGTAGCTTATATGGTGCACCCCATAGAGAAACCTTTTTATTTTTCTTAAGCAGGTATTGGGGCATTCATTTGAGTTCAACTATTACTATTCATGCATGTGCTAAGGCTGGAAGTACTCTAGAGAAGAAATTATGTGATTACATTCGTCCTAAATGCTATCCCTTACTTTATGACTCCAGCATCAACTCTCTAACAACGGTGGCATTGAATGCCTATCAAGCCTTTTTGCTCAGTGCAATGAAGTTTCACTGCTCTGTACGTTCCATGCCCAGCATCAGTAAACTTAAACCCTGCTACATACTCAGCAAAATTTTGTTCTCTTTCAGGTACAGCCTCCAGTGCTTTTTCTTTTTAGCTCCTTAGATATGGTATGTTATTCCGACGAACGAACCTGTGTCTATCTGCTATTCTTCTCACTGGTTTGAAGTGTGCTGTATAAATTTCCAAATTACTTAAAAAAAGTTATTGATAATTACATGAGAAAATTGAGAATCTTAAGATGAATATGTCAAATACTCAAGATTGATTGAATGAGAAAAGATGTTGTTAGAGGGATGGTGGAAGTAGTATTATTAAAGAGAAGATGAAATAAACTCAAGCAGTTTGGCACAATAAGAAATAATTGCTCCAAAAATTTCTTCTATTCATTCATGACATGGGCTTATATTGAGCATTACAACGATTTACAGATAAACCCTAAGCTTCTTCTATATTTTCTTTTTACCAATAGGACCCTAAAGTAGATACAAATCTCAATACTCTCCCTCAAAATGGGCAAAACCTATTATCCACTAAGCCCATCTTGTCACATATCATCGACAAGATGGACTTAGTCCTTTTGTGAGGTAGTCAGCTAATTACTCCCTAGTTGTTACATGAGTTAGCTCTAGTAGTCTGTTATTCAACATTTGCTTGATGAAGAACCTATCAATATCAATATGTTTGGTTATATCATGCTCCATCAGGTTGTTGGCAATGTTAATTGTTGACTTGTTGTCGCACTACAACTTCATTTGAGCTCTTTGGCCCACATTGAGCTCTACCAACAGGGTTCTCAGCCACATCATCTCGGCAACTTCTAAGGTCATGGCTCGATACTTTGCCTCTATTTTTGACCTTGCTATTGCTGACTGTTTTTCAAGTTGCCCCCTACAAACATGCACTATCCTGATGTGGACCTCCTGTCATCCACACAACTCGCTCAGTCAAGATTCACAAAATCCCTCAATGTCTACATGTCCATTCTTCCCGAAGATCAAACCGTTCCTTGGTACACTCTTCAAGTACATCAGGTCCATATGACCTTTCTCTCACAAAATCCCTCAATGTCTACCATTCTTCCCGAAGATCAAACCGTTCCTTGGTGCACTCTTCAAGTACATCAGGTCCATATGACCTTTCTTTGGATCATGCATGTAGCGGCTTACCACGCTCACAACCTCTTGCGATCAACAAACTCATGTCTCTGCACTTAATTCGACGGATTATAGGCTTGCATCTCAACAAGCTTGTTTCTGTGAGGAGATTCAATACATACTTCTTTTGAGACAAGATCATCCTCTTTGGTCTAGGGGTTACCTCAATCCCAAGAAAGTATTTGAGTTGTCCAAGGTCTTTCACCTCAAATTTTTTGATAAATCTTACCTTTAGCTGAACGATTTTTGCCTCATCATCATCAGTGACAATCATTTAAACAACATACACAATAAATTTAGTAATTTGACATCCATATTGTCGAAAAAAAATCGTATGACCGGCATTGATCTGTTGATATCTCATGCCCACCATAGCTTTTTTAAACTTGTCAAACCAGACTCGAGGAGACTGCTTCAAGCCATAAAGTCACTTCCTAAACCTGCACACCTTGCCTACTATTTGGTCTGTACTCGAGGAGACTGCTTCATGAATCCAGGCGGTATCTCCATATACACCTTCAGTAACTCACCGTGAAGAAACATACACTTCACATTGAGTTGGTGTAACCTTCACTCACCATTCACTGCCAGAGAAATCAGTGTCCTCATTATGCTCATCTTTGCTACTGGTGCAAATGTTTCGTCATAGTCAATGCCAACGTCTATTTGTACCATTTCACCACCAATTGTTCATTGTAACACTCCACCTTTCGTTCTGGTTTTTTTTTCACAGTGAAGATCCTCTTACACTCAGCTGCTCTTTTTCTACTGGCAATGACAATATCTCCCATGTTCAGTTTTTATTGAGAGCCTCAAGATCTTCATGCATGACAACTTTTCACTTGAGATCGTCCTTAGCTACCTACCAACACTTGAGTATAGAAACATTATCCAAAGATGCAATGAATGATCCATGTATATGTCATATGTTAGAGAATGAAGCAAACTGAGTAACGTCATGCTCTCACCCAAAGCGATCAGAAGGATGTCCTGCATTGTTGCGAGAGGTTCTCCTTAACTTTATGGGGTTGGAAGTAGAAGAAGAGTAATCATATCACCTGTGAGTTTGGAGTTTGAGGTTGATGGTATAGGTGTTTCAAAAGTCGGGTAGACTAGGAAAGGTGACTTACCGACACAAGTGGCACTGCAGACACAATTCCCTCAGTATGCTTCCTCCTCCTTGTATACACTCTATTCAACCCGAATCTCTTGCTCACATAAAGTCTGGTTTCTCTGAACAAGCTATTTATCCCATAAGTCACATCATTACTACTCACCCCCCTCTTGTTTTTTACCATCAGCATCTGACGGGTCACCAAAGGGTGAGGTCATCTCCAGGGTGTAGTACTGTTCGAATTCTTTAAAGGACTCGTCCATGTTTACATAGAGTTTTCTCTCCATCGGGCTCCAGGAAACATACCCTTTCTGGGTAGCATAATAACTTATGAAAACACACTTCACAACTCTGAGATTCGGCTTTCTTACTAATGATCTGTTATTCTTCACAAAACATACACAGCTAATTACCTTCAATTGGAGTATCACGTTTTTATCTTCTTTCAACATCTAACAAGGAGACTTATAATCCAAAACTCTTGAGGGCATTTTGTTGATCAATTGAACAGTTGCAACGCTACTTGTCCCCACAAATGTTTTGGGACATTTATCGGAATCGTGCTTTGCGCTACCTCTAGAATGTTTATTTCTTATATCTTTTATTCCATATATATCGGTGTGTATGGACATGTGATTTGATGTTGTATCCTATAAGTTGACAAGTATTTTCTAGACACTGTTGGTATACTCTCTCCAATTATTAGATCGCAATACCTTCATTACTACATCATATTGTGTCCGGGTTGCCCGGCGAAATCTTAAAAGCAAGGAAACAAATCATCCTTATTTTTCATCAGATACAACTAAGTAACACGAGAAAAGCAATCAGTAAAAGCCACAATATTTATGACCATTCATTGAACTTGTAGAACAAGGTTTGCAAACATCAGAATATATCAAATCAAAAATACTAGAACTCCTGTTCCCAAAATTGTTAGAATCAAAAACACAAGAACTCCTATTTCCAAAATTTTTATAAAAGCTTCTAGTAAACTTGTCAAACTCACAAGCATCACAAACAAGTTTTTGTTTATTTGTCTTTTCATACAAAAATGATACAAACGACTTGATAAACTAAATAAGAGTGTCTCATATTTTTGTGATGTTGCAGTAATACATCCTCCACACTCTTCTCAGATCACTCTACTCCATTTTATATCATGTATATTAATGCGGAGTTCATCGCCTCACTATTCAAGTGCCAAAGTTCACTATGCCCCGTTCCAGTTCCAAGTGTCCAACCCGCCCCTTTCTATTGAAAAATTGCCTTATGAATGTTAAATGAACAAGATATTTTAGTTGGAGAATAATGATACTAATGGATAAAATGTTCACTAGAAAGAAAAAACATACAAATTTTGGACATAGTTATAAAATCGGTACACCTCACTATATCTTTTCCAACCACAGGCTATGTTGTTCCATCAACAGTCTGGATATTCTCTAGAACTGTTAGGTGAGTATAGGAAGAGAAGTTTCTTGCAATACCTTTCACATGTTGAGATGCACAAGAATCTACTTTTTATTATGATGACCTTGTAGTGGAAATAAAGACAAAAACATGTGTATCATGAGTACATTTATCAGAGTAAGCACAGGTAACATTGTTACCCCTTGATGACGATGAGGTGGAGGCATCCTCAACCCCATCCCCTGCTGCTTTATGCTTTCTGCTTCCTCTTCAATATCTCCATAAACTCATGTGTCTCATTGGTAAATATCACGTTTGTCTCTCCCTTGTCCTCAACTACCATTAGATTTGCCCCAGCAGTCTAGTCTTCCTCTTTAACCCCCACGACCACAACCACGACGATCAGTCTCCCTCTTTTTCCTCTTTAACCCCCACGACCACAACCACGACGATGGCCATAGCCTCCAAATTGTCCATGTCAACACCTCTCTCCTTGGTTGGCCAAAGACAGAATTTGCTCAGGTGGTCTATTTCATTGCATTTGTAGCACTTGCGAGTCTTCCCCTGGATACCTGTCATACCTGAGCTCGAGGCAACTAAAGCTAATCACATTCCTGGAAGTCAACTCGGCTTAGAGTGAAGCCTCATGTGACTCTCCTCCCGTATCATCGCAGGGATATCCTCATCCAAAGAAGAGATCCTTGACTTGGCTAGGAGAACCGATCTCCTCTGATGAAAGATCGGGTGTAGATGAGCTAGAAACTGCATATTCATCCGTGCAAAGATCTCCCTCTTCTTGCACCTCAGATCACCACAGGTCGACCTCGGTGAGAAGTGATCGTGATCTGCCCACAACCACTCCAAATTTATGGAGTACTCTTGAATCGATCCATCACCATGTACCTCTACTTTTATCTCACACTAAATCTGGAACACTCGTGTAATTCTCAGTCTTAACATTGATCCTTTTTAGCTATGCCCAGATGTCTTACATTTCGAATGTCATCTACTGAGAAGGAAATTAATAGAACTATCGAGTTGAGCAACCATATATAAAGCAAGACATATGTGCTTCTTCACTCATCCCATTCAGTATTGTCATTCTTTGGTTAGTCCCCACTCAAATATCCCTTTTGTTTCTTTCCCACTAGAGAAGCCTTGATCCGATGCGACCAACTCAGACACATGACCAGTCCATCAAGTTTCAGATCCACAGGAGGTATTTGTAGCTTCACCTGCATCAAAGCACGTGTTGAGGCAGTGGTTCCCTTTGAGATGACAACTCTTTGTATGAGCACGATCAAGACCTTCTGATTCTCAGAATTTATCTTCCCCAGATATTTCAATCTTTTATCTCCAATACTATCGTCGTCTTCTGACATCCTCAATCATAAGAAAATAAGTCTAGATCTAAATCATGCGCGACTTCCTTTTATTGATCTAATTTTGATCTATCTCATTATCAAGATTGAGATCATCCTCATATCAATCGATTCCTGGGGGCATGGGGTATCCCCCCCCCCCACAAACAGGCGTAGATAAGATATTCATGCGGTGGCTGGCCAGAAAAGATAGAGCGCTAGCCGCGAGAGAGGAAGGTGGCTGGGTGAGGAAGCAGTGGACCGTTAGTCGGGTGAGGGAGTAACAGCCTGGTGAGGGAGGGTTTGACTCTTGGGTCGTGCACGCACAAGAAAGAATGTCGAGGGATTTGAAGGGATGGATCACGTCTGAGGCAAGGAGTAATGTTTGGGGGCTTTGGTTTATGGAAGAAGACTTAGGCTTGCTGGGATTGGATCATGTGTGAGGTTCCTGTGGCAACAACAACAACAACAACGTGCCTTTACTTACTAGGTGGGGTCAGCTACATGAATCATTTTTCTTCATCGCGCCCTATTGAGTGCCAAAATTTCATTTAATTCTAATAGATTAGCATCATTTTTTATACAATTTGCCAGTCTTTTTAGGTCTACCAACAAGAGTCAAATCTTAAACATTTAATAGAATCATCAGATGGTCGGCGTTTAATGTGACAAAACAATCTAAAATGATTCTCTCTAATTTTGTCCACCACTAGAGCTTCACCAACCCTATCACAAATATTTTCATTTCATATTTTGTCTCTAAATGTCAAGCCACTCATCCACCTAAGCATTCTCATCTCAATAATACTTAACTTTATTTTATGCTTCTTTTTTAAAGACCAACATTCTACGCCCTAAGAGCATTATAGGTCTCACAACCATCTTATAAAATTTTTATTTTAGTGTGAGGGACGCTTTTCTATCAAACAACAGGCCTGATGCATTCCTCCACTTCAACCAACTTAAATTCTACTAATAACATCCCATCTATATGGCCATCACTTTAAACTATATATGTGAAATATCTAAAACGATCACACATTTTAATGATTTGATCATTGTTACAACACTTAGAGCTACTACTACAAAATTACATTCCATGTATTCAGTTTTAGATCAACTCTAATGGAGACCTCCATAATTTAAGTTTTTCGTGAACTCTTTCTCTAATCTTATCCACAAAAAGGATATTATCAACGAATAGCATATACCAAGGTACATCCTCCTATAAAAGCCCAGTAAGAGCATTCATAACTAAAGAAAAAGATATGGGCTTAAAGCCGATCTCTGATGTAATCCAATTGAAATAGGAAAATACTTTGTCTATCCTCCTTCTGTTCAAACACAAGTAACAACTCTAGTATACATATCCTTTTTTATTTGAATATAAGTCATATCAACTCCTTTCTTCTCTAGAACTCTCCAAAGGAATTCTCATGGAACTTTATCATATGCTTTTACTAAATCAATAAAAATCATATACTGATCTTCCTTGTTCTCTCTGCACTTCTCCATCAAACCTCTCACTAAATGTATAGCTTCCATGGTAGACTTTTCTGACATAAATCCAAACAGATTTTGAGAAATTTTTTTATCACGTCTTAACCTATGTTCAATTTCTCTCTCCCAAAATTTTAAAGTATGACACATCAACTTAATTCCTCTCATGATTTTAAAGTGAGACTACTAGGGCTCTGATACAAAAAAAAAAAAAATAATTGGTCCAAAAGCTTTTTCCATTCATTCATGACATTGACTTATATAGAACATTACAGCATTTCACAAACCGCTATTTTTTTCTTACCAATAGTGCCCTAAACTAGATACCAATGTCAACAGCACATATTGTTAGTCCTCTCTGAGAGAGAAGCTGGTTAGATGGAGATAAAAGAAGCAATAGATGAAAGAGCCTTGAGGAAGGAGAGGGAGAAGAGTAAGATCGAGGAAGGAAGAAATTGTAGATAGGGAAGAAAGGAAAACATGATAATTCTTTCTACTGTCTCCAAACTTCTGACAACTACTATCTATATCCACCTCACCTATTCCTCCACCTTCATATTTCTAGCAACCTATGCAGTCTAAGCAAATATGAGTTGATACTTGTCAGATTAGTTACATAACAACATTTTATATGTATGGATCAGTTTTATTACCCCCTTTTCTACCCCTTCCTTTTTCTTTATCCACAAGGTAGTCTATTCAGCGTAGTCCATTCCGGGTGAGATTGTCATGAAGTGCTCACGATCAACTCGATTTGCCCCTTTATTTCTAGCTCCGATAACATCCGGCTATTTCACAACACATACAAGGTTTGGTTTTAATGTAAAAGATACACCAATGAGCCAAGTAATTAAAATATATTTTGAAAGCATAGAAGAGAATGACAAACCGAAGGTAATATACTTTTAATTTTTTGTGGACAGTGGCATTGGTGGTGTAATGATTAAATAAACCAGGCAAAATATCTAGTACAAGTGAAATCACAATTTATTGTAATTGTTAATTTTTATATTAATAAAAATTTGAATGGTCAGTCATAGGAGGCCTCTTTGCATGCATCTCTTCTTTCTTTGCCTGCCTATCACGTTGTTCTCAACAATCTGGAGAAGACTTGTACGAAATTCTCTTGGAATTAAGGCCTCAACCGTAAGGGGCTGCTTTAACTTTCTTGGGGAAACCTGTGCCAACCTACTCGGCTTGGGGGGCCTTCACTTGTACGCCCCCACACATTGGAAGAGGTGTGTTCGTACTTGGTTAGCATGGAATTTCATGGCCAAAAAAGCTCCCTTGCTTCACCGGTAACTCAAGGAGACATGACCAAAATATTTGGCAACTGCACTACAATTGGACTGATTCAATCACTTGGAAGGCGCTGCAGAATGGGCCAGCTAGCTTGTGGGACAATATGAGATGGAGTTTGGCGAATTGAACTAATTTTAAGGTTGAAGATGTGGATCAGCTCTAGGTCCTGGATTTAATAGAGAATGCCTTGGGCGGCTCCTGTATTATTTCAGCTAGGAGCTTAGGGACATGACTGCTCGCATTTCTTTACATACTCAGCTCTCCAAGGTCCAGTCTGAGCTCGCCAGCATGATCACCCGGCAAACAATTACTGCCTTCACCCATGACATTGTTTTTCTCATCTCACCTGGCAACTGCAAATTGCTTGGGAAATATCGATTGAACTAACGGGAGCACATGTTTGGTGGAAATTATTGTTGAGTACCCACTAATAATTGCTCAAGTTCGAGAGGGGTGGCCTTTACATCCAACTTCCCTTGGGCTGCCCTGATGCGGCAAGGTGTGGGACTCTTCTTGAAGGTATCAGTACTTTGAGGAGGTGGAGGTTTAATGTGACATCGTTTGACAGCTTAGATGGAGATATTAGAGAGCTATCTAGATTCAGAAGTCACAACATTGCACTGGCCCACTTTTTTTGCATCACAGATCACAACTGTTTGAGGAGTTCATAATGCTGAGCATGGATGACTTTTTGGCGCGCCCACTGTATTTGTGGCTACCGTACTCCATGCTTGAGTTGCTCAATTGGGTTTTTATTTTGCCATTCCAAAACATTGGGACACTAGTCGGCTTTGTAGGCCATCGCATTACCACTTATGGCGTCCCCTTAAGACGATGTGAATAGGTACTCCTTTCCTTTCACTTGGTTGGCAAAGTAGTTTTCATTTGAGATGCGAAGGATCACCATTTATTTGACTGGAGTGCAGACAGAACACTGGAACAGTGCCCATATCCTCACCAATTGAGACATTATGGGGCCGTGGATGTTATTGAGAGTGAATTTTCTAAAATCATCAATTCACTTCTGCCAAACTGTGCAAGATCGAGTGTGGTGTACCCGACCTCATGGCAGCCTAGATTTTGCGTTCCTTACCCATTTTAGATGGGTGCACTTTTAGTTTACATATAGGGACAGTAACAAGGTAGCTCATTGTTGTGCTCAATTGCATTACCGGAGAGTTTTTGGGTTGAAACATGTACACAAGTCACATGCTCTTTTTTCTCTTCTTAGGGATGGTGGATCTCATTTTGTAAATGAATAATTACTGCTTTTGTTCTTTTTCATCTTTTGATATAGATTGCAGTATGTAAGTTTTAAGGATGAAGTGAAACCGAACAATATCCTTGTAGACGCTGGAGGTGCCTATAAACATTATTAATCTAAATACTCCAAAACTTATTGTGGGGCATCCAATGCCCAAGTTCTAAGAAACTCTTGCTTTGGGGCTTCAAAACGGAGGGTACAAAGGCTCAGTTTGACTACATTAACACTTCGAAGAAAAGTTTTCCACTATAGATTCAGGCACACCATTTAATACTTTGCCCCGCATCTTAGCTACACGCCACTCTACGCTAATTCATCAAGTACGAGCACAACGGCTTGAAGCACTACATGCAAGACTCATAAAGATTAAGTTGGCAATTAATATGCCTAGAGCACAACAATCTGATTTCTTGCCCTTTGCTTTTCATAGTAGTCACTTATTTCTTAACCATATTGCAAACAACTATGGAGTAATATTTTTTAGAGAATTTACATATATAGTGCCCAATTTCTATGTATTTATATATCTAAATTTTGCTTTTTTTACATTCGTAACATCCACATTTTTTTCAAAAAATACCATCATATTAACTTTTAAAAAGTGAACTACACCTTTTCATGCAGAGGTAAAAGGTAAAGTTGAATGCATGTAAAAATTACAGGTCAATATGTAAATACATTGGAATTGAATGGTTTGTTTGTAAAACTTCCTCGTTTCTTTTCCATATTCAGATACATGGCTCATTTGATTAGGTACATGTACACACTCCTTAAGAAGAGGATGCATAGCGTGGAAAATCGCTTCAATGTAAAACCAATCTTACGGCTTAAGAAGAAGGAAATTACTATTCTCGGTCTGCATGCTTTCGTACGAGTGCTGAAGAAGAAACAATCACGATATAAAGAACTTATTTATTTGCTGAGGACTAAGATTGATGAACTTAGACCAGAGGGTGCTTCACGACATATGCAATATGCAGTCGACGATTCTCATTCATCTCTTTTTTGGAAAATCAGGTATTAAACTCTTTTGAATGGTTTTTTATATTTATTATTTTTGGACTGCATATTATTGCATATGGATAATTATCACTGAAACATATGTTTCTATTTATACAACGGGGAGTTTCATGTTATTGTCTTGTATGGCTGCGGTCTCCAATTTTTTTTTAGCCGTTGTGTTTTAGCTCTTATTAGTGTCCAATAAAGCTTCTAATATTAACCATGTCATATACCTACCGACTACTTCGATGGGGTCATTTTTGTATCAGGAGTGCTGCTGGCTGTCTATCAAAGTCAAATGTTGAGTTGTATTCTTGAATTTTTCATTTCTCTAAGTTCCTGATTTTAAGTTTAGATTTATTATTATTATTATTTAATGTGGAGGATAATCAATTACTTATTTTTGGGTGCAATATTTTGATTATTTTAGTTAATATCCTAAATATTTTAATGGAGTGCTATATTAATTAAACTGATTATAAATCATTTTATTAGCAATTAAGTATTTTTATTTATCTTAAAATTGAGTAATCGTTGGCTTCATGGATTGCTCTCAAAGTATAGTTTGCAAAAAAAAATATAGGTTATTTGATCATTTAATTAATAATTTCTTAACATACTCAGTGTCTGATTTGAGCTTCTTAGGACTTGGAATGGACGACTTCTGCTGTCGATGGGTTCATTTTATCAAAGCATTAAGTTGAAATATAAATTAATTAAAATCATAGGTTGGATGTCTCGTACTTTAAATTAGAATGCGTCAAATTTAAATAGTATCCCTTATTTGTGTCCTTTAGTGAATTTTTAAAATATATTATATAGGAAATTATCCTTTAGCCAACCACCTTTGAAAGTTATAAAGAATCTTATTTAGCCCTCAAACTTTCATGTTCAATTTGCTATCTCCATATTTTCTTTGAAGTAAATTTCTTCTGATTTAGTTCCTCAAACTTTCTTGTTCAATTTGCATTGTTGCTATGTACATATTTTCTTTGAAGTAAATTTCTTATGATTTAGTATATTACACAAATAATTTCACTATGAGAGTACTGAAGTGGTCCAAGTCTTTTAGTTTAAAGAACCTCTTATGTCCCCTATTTGGAATGTTTTTCCTCATGAGTTCACTGTTTTAATCATGTTTTTTCATTAAAACATTTGCATTTGGGTTTAAAAGGGTAATATTCTTTTGGGAAAATATCTTAATTATATTAATAATATTTTTTAGCTAGACAATTGAACAATTAGAATAAATCAGAAGTGGAACATGAGAATGATTTTGTGAGAGGGCATGACATAAAATCAGTTAAATGAATGTATTGTGAACATCATATTTCTCTTTTTTTTTTGTTGATTCTATGGTCAATATATAACAAAATTTGCATTTCTGCTATCTACATATTTTCTTTGAAGTAAATTTCTTCTGATTTAGTATATTACACGAATAATTTCACTATGAGAGTACTGAAGTGGTCCAAGTCTTTTAGTTTAAAGAACCTCTTATGTCCCCTATTTGGAATGTTTTTCCTCATGAGTTCACTGTTTTAATCATGTTTTTCATTAAAAAATTTGCATTTGGGTTTAAAAGGGTAATATTCTCTTAGGAAAATATCTTAATTATATTAATAATATTCTTTAGCTAGACAATTGAACTATTAGAATAAATCAGAAGTGGAACATGAGAATAATTTTGTGAGAGGGCATGACATAAATCAGTTAAATGAATGTATTGTGAGCATCATATTTCTCTTTTTTTTTGTTGATTCTATGGTCAATATATAACAACATGAACATTAAATAAACCGTGTAAAACTTAGTTGGCTAGCATAAGAAAATGAAAATCTTTGTATTAAAATGTTTATAAGATAATGATATTGCGACAAGTAATGATAATTCGGTTTCTTCGGTGGTAGGATTGTCTTATTTTTTTTGCATTAGAGAGCATTCTGATATTCCTAGGCATGTATTTTGCTTCGGAAGGATTTTTCTTTTTAAGAGCTTGTTTAGGACCGTAAATATACTGAACAGAGCCAAGCAGATACTTGTTTGAGCTTGAGCTCGTTTATTAATAGCTTGTTCGAGTTTAGTTCGAGTTCGTTTTTAGCTTCTAAGATTATGTTTGAGCTTCAGTTCGAGCTCAATTTTGTTATAAAAAATTTTAAATCTAATAGTTGTAAATTAGAAAGTGTACGTATTAGAAAGGTTGATATTAGGTAACTTAATTTAAGGAAACTTTATTATATGATCTTTTCTGTGTTATGAAACTTAATTAGATAAGATTTAATTTCATGTTTTTTCCTATATTTGAAATGCTTCTAATTTGTATAACCTAATTTTCTCTTTATAACCTAATTGAATTGTAACCTTAATTCATCCAATTTATCTATTCTCCCCACCTATTCACAGTGGAAGAACATCTTTTCGTGGACTTGAGTGGATTTGTGTTGAACCACATAAATCACAATATTTGTTGTTTTTACATTTGTACATTTGTTTTGTTAATTTGTTTTTTTAATTGTTTTGCACAATAATTGGTATCATAAACTGGTCAGATTCTGCTTACGGGCAGCTGCGATTTTGATGAAGCTGTGGACGCAAGACAGAGATCGGAGCATGTTGGTCTATCTGTCAGACCTATCGATAATAAAATCTATCGATAAAAACATGTGATTGGGTACTTCAACATCACAATGACAATGGAAAAGAATTTATCGGGTGGTTACACACCATGCGAAGATCGACGTGTTAAAATTTGACAACAAAGAAGATTTTGGCATCTGTTGTGAGGTGATAAATGCATTGTGTTATTTGAATTTGAAGGAAGTTCTTGATAGGGATGAACATCTTTGAATGATGTTAGAAGAAGATTATTTGTGAATCGAAGTGTGGGGTTAGATTCGAAATTATTTATCTCAGGAGATCAAATCTGGAGTGATGATGGAGACATCTAAAGAAAAATTGTGGAGAAAGTTGAAAAATAAATATTTCATGAAAAGCATTGAGAATCGTCTCCATATGAAGCTTCGACTCTATAGGTTTCAGATGAGACATGGGGTTACTATTGATGGACATTTGAATGATTTTACAAAGCTTTTGATAAGTCTATTAAATCTACATGGGAAGGTTGAAAATAAAGGCAATCATTTTTTTCTATTGAATTCGCTTCTTTATGAGTATAGAAACTTCACGATGATACTTATTCATGAGAAAAAGGCCTTGAATTATGATGAGGTAACTGCGGCGTTGTTGAACCATGAGTTATGTCGAAGGGATAATGAGTAAACGAAGATGGAGTCGGTTGAGACACTTATACTTCCAACACTGTTGATCTGAGAAAAAAAATTGGGCATTGAAGGATGACAACGGTGATATTTCTCCAAATGCGCGACAAGTCTCATGGGTGCGATCTTGAAAAAAATCAATGTGCTTTCTGTTTAAAGATTGTTCATTGGAAGAATGATTGTTCGAAGTTGAAGAAGAATGGAAAGAGACTTTTCTCTAAGTTGAAAGTCAACCTTATTGTGGAGAAGTAATAGGGTGGATTCATATGTATTG